TAATTATTTTTTTTTTATTTTTAAACTTCAACACCCAGTATCTTTTTAATGAAACCCTCGAGGAAAACATGTTACATAGAAGATCTCCCTTAATTCATTTTTGGCCACGACTTGTGAATCACCCTGTTTGCATATGATCTTGGTAACTAAAAGTCAAAGCTGGTGAAAAATCATCTATTTGGCTTTTCTATTTTGGTATTACTGGTTATCTATTATTATCAATGATAAAACTAGAATGTATAAAACTGAATATCTAAATATCAGATCTTTGTTGCCATCAATTAATGAAATTAGATATGTCGTCCTAAAACAACATTTTGATTTGTTGTGTACCAGATACATGCCTCAACAGTAGGATAAAAAATAAAAAGTAGTAATAAATAAAAATATTTTTTTACATCATATATAGATTACATACTTTGTGTTGGTGACTTGAACATAAATCTATGTTATATTAAAAATAATAATGTTGTTAAATACGACCGCCGACGACGACGCTTGTCCTTCCCGGGGACCACGTTGCACGTATCGACACTCCACTGTAAGCGAAATTTCTAAGTTTGAGTAAATATACGGGGGACATCTATGATGAAAGAAATATACCGAATATGTGCGTAAAATTACTGGGGTTGGAGACGTATAAATGCACCAATGCCAAGAAATTGAGCGTATATCCTCCCGAACCCTGCAACACCTAATCCCCAATGTTTAACTCCTACAGAAATTTTTCCGAAAATGATCAGGATAGCCTGAAACGTCAAAAATGGAATGGAATGGTTTTTATTCCTTTTTCGTTTTTGGCTTTTTTCTTCGCCGCCACTGTACCGATGTTCAAAAACTACAAAGCCTTTCCGTCCATGGCATAGTAGCAACATTGAATACAAATTTCTACGAAATCCGAGCGGTATTTCTCAAGTTATTGGCTGTTATAAGATTAATGGGCAGACAGACACGGTCAGATAGACCGACCGACCGAAATGAGAGACATGGTATTTCATGATATACCTACATGTCATACGACATTCAAAAAACATAATATTACATTTTCGAAAATTTTCGCGAGTAAAACACTTCCTCGTCATGCGAAGTAAAGACATATAGGTCAATCTCGACCCATGACCACTTTAATAAATATACTGGATTAGTTGCATTTTTATATTGAATCTCCAAATTTCGTTGGACTAAAACCACCTCAAAATCAGTATCTTCTACAGCATATACTTCAAAATGAACAAAGAAATCACACTGTTCACCTGAATTAATGTTTTGGCATGGGAAGAGACATATCCAATGGTCTACCACAGATTGCCCATTCTCATTTTTTATAAGCCGATTCCAGTATATCTTTATTCATTTTGCTAGCATTTGAAGTAATTTATTGAACAGTATTTAGTATTTCCGATGCAGTATATTGTTTTGATAACATACTGTTTGACCTTTCAGTGACTCCAATCATTCATTTATTTCCACAACAATATTTTCAACGCGCGAATATGTAAATTCATAAATTCAATAGACGGTTTGTTTTTACATATCACTAATAAATAATTGTTGAATTCATTCCACTTTGGAGGACGATCGCTCATTTTAAATCATTTGTTTCTGCTTCACAAAAATGCAAGGAAAAGGTTAATTAAGTTCAATACATATCTAGTTCAAGTCTCATCGTAAACAGAGATATCCATCTATCGCAAATAAGAAAAATTGAGCGATGAAATTAGTCAAATAAATAATACTCTCAATACTTTCAACCAACGACAGGATCTTACATCTAATTTTATATACAGGGTGTCCCAGAAATAACACGCCAGAGTGACACGGGAGGTAGATTGGCTGCAGGTCAGATAAAATCAACAAGACCCGTATCGTCAATCGTCCCTACAATTGTAGGGCGCCTTTATGGCCTCCTTGATTGTCATAGTTTTCTACTTCTTCGTGTCAGAACTCTATTTTGAGGTTATGTCACAAACATCTATTTGCATCAAATTGTGCTTGCTTTTGAGTTATATCATGTTTTATCAACCTGAAATTTCCTACAATTTAAAAAGAGAACATATCTTCACAATAGGAGAGCGCTGACGCTGACACGGGACAAGTGTAATCTAGAAATTTTTGAAGGAGAGAAAGGAGTATGACAATCAAGGAGGCCATAAACGCGCCCTACAATTGTAGGGACGACTGACGATACGGGCCTTAGTTACAGTTTTCTAGTTATTGCCATTTTTAAGCTTTTTCAAAAAATCCATACTATTGGCTCCTTTTTTGCCTGTTATGCCTATAAAGAACTTCTAACTCATGTTTTTTGTTCCTGGACTACCATTAATAGTTGGTTGAGACAACCGAGTATTCATTTCATTGGAACCAGCATGGTATGCTAACAAAAATTAATACATTTTGTTTCAATGTGAAAACCTTTAACAAAGTTTGACTTATTACTGTGGAAAAGAATGTACCAGACTGAATCGGCAAATGATCTTAAATATTGCATAAGGGAGTATCTTGATGATTATTCGATTTTAGTGAAAAGAACCTACAAATGTTATACTACTTTTGAAAGAGCACTAAATTGCTAGTTTTTAAGGTCATTTGCTGATTCAGTCTCATTTTTTTCGCAGTAATTAGTCAACCTTTAGTAAATGTTTTTGCATTGAAACCAAATGTAGTATTATTTTTTTTTAGTATGCCGTTCTAGTTTTCAATGAAATGAATACTTGGTTGTCTCAACCAACTATTAATTGCAGCCCAAGAAAAAAATCACAAGGTAGAAGTTCTTTATAGGAAAAAAAGGAGCAAAATGTAGTGATTTTTTGAAAAAACTTAAAAGTGGTAATATCTCGAAAACTAGAACCTCAACCCAATCTACCTCCCGTGTCACTCTGGCGTGTTACTTCTGGGACATCCTATATATATATATATATATATATATATATATATATATAATGTGTGTATGTATATGCTGGGTGGAGGTCTGTGTTGTGACCAAAAGCAACCCGACGGCAACTACTGTATATTTCAGAAGATCTCATTTACTCACCGTCAAAACAAACATCCGCGCGCGGTGTTCAAATTCGCGCGCTCCTATTGGCTAACGAACCACAAGGGCCTGGGCAGGCAGCGACAAACGAAAGGAAGCAATGATCGACTGCTCATATTTGTTTTGGCGCACAGTAAATGAGGAATGAATGAACACTTCAACCCCATTGCGATTTGTTTTGAGGTTGTGAAAAAGTCTCTTACTAGTAAGAATGTGGAATACAAATATGTTTTTATTCTTAAAAAAAAAACGATAGAACAAGTTCCCGATACATATATATATATATATACGTATTTCAATTGATTGCTAAAAATGCAGGATATGAACATAATTATGTCCTAAACCTCCTAACTTTTGGGCTACAGGGTGCTACAGTTTTAAAAAAAATCGTTTTCTTACCATAACTTTAATACTGTTCTAGATATTTTCATGACATTTGACATGCACCTACTAAGCACCAATAGGCATTTTTTCATGTACTGTATACTGGACATTTTTCAAAAAATGGAACGGCGTTCCTTTTTAAGAAAAATATTTTTTTTTGAAATTCTGATTTATTTAGCAATAAATTTGACCTCTTGACTTGTTTCCGTCCGATGTACCGTTTTCGTAAAAGAAAACGTGTTCATGCATTTGTAGTATAACGAAATTATTTTGAACTAGTAGGCTGGTCCCCTATTTTGTTTGTAAAATAATGACATCTGATCGATTACGTTGTGGTCTTACTTTGACAAGTATTCATAAACTTGATAGTTTTTTACATTGTGAAAGTTTCCTTCAACAATAATAAAGAGAAAATAAGTAAACTATGGCAAGATTTACAAAATCCGAGTTAGCAGATATGCATTTTACCTACGGACTTGCTGATCGGAATGCGTTTATGGCTAGGCGAGTATAACAAGAGCGGTATCCCGGTATCTTTCTCGATGCCTGAATGTTTTCTAGAATACACAGAAGTATACATAAAAATTGAAGTTTTGGCATTTGCTCCAAAGGGGCACATCGCACGATGAGAACACCTGAATTAGAGGAACCTGTTTTAACCACAGTTGAGAAATATCCAAGTACTAGGAAAATCAGTAGGTTCATGTCAAATCTCATGAAAATATCGAGAAAATCATTAAAGTTATGATGAGAAAACGATTTTTTTCTTAAAATTTCAACACCCTGTAGCTCAAAAGTTAAGAGGCTTAGGACATATATTCATATAAACTTTTCTTCCTAAAATGAGCTAAGGAATCATCAAATATCCTGTATTTTTAACCATCAATTAAATGACATCTTATATATAATATGCAATGAACGATTTGCGGAAAGTAACACCGCAGCTTAGATAACAATGAGCTGTGAAGCTATCCTGTCAGTGTCAAAAACGGCCACCACATTCCGGCAGAGAAAGTCGAATGTAAATTCCCCAGTACAATGATAAAAGAGGTTTTAGTGCTCAGCAGCAGCCGGTGTTGCATCGTATCACGCCAGCGGCCGCAGATACTCTTTGCAATCTTAAAATGGTAATATTTCGATACGATATAGTGTACCAGCTACTGCTGAACACTAAAAACTCTTCCATATTTTTACTGTGGGAATTTACATCCGACTTTCTCCGCCGAAACGGCGGCCGTTTTCTACACTTTCATTCAGCTTCACAGCTCATTGTTATCTAAGCTGTGGTAATAACCTTGAACGCAAACATACTTGTCGAGTCTGATGATCATTCTTGCAACTATCAACTGGCGTGTCACACCACTTGTGTCAACTGTAGGTCTCCTTGAAGGTTTTCAACACTGCTACTGCAACTAAATCACGTCAAAGATACCCGATTTTTCATCAACGACTTTTTAGGATATGGTCGGAACTCTAGCTGAAGTGCCACAAGTCGAAATCGGGTTGAAGTTGAGTTGCTTTTGAACAGTAATGGATATCATTGATTGAGAATAAAATTTTCAAATATCAAATCGATACCTACGTTAGTCTGTGGAAAATTCGTTGCAGTCAGCAATTTGTGACTTTGAGGCATCTCAGGAACGGGAGAAGTATCTGAGCAGGTGTTCTTCACGAAAACGTTGTGTCCTCGGTTCTCTATAATAGCAGGTACACTTGTAACGGTACTATTCAAGTTTGCCGGCTCAGCACCATTCTTCTCTACTCCCTCTGTTACTGGTTGAGCAGTGGTGATAGCTTTAACCACAGTAACGGGAGCATTTAATAAGGTGATGGTTGGTGATTTTCCCATAGCAGCATTTGTGACAGAGTTAACAAGCGTGAATTGTGGAGCACTAGACACTCCAGATGTGACGCAAAGAGACTTGACGACGGTTAGAGGTCCAGTAGGGTTGAGAACGGTGATCAAGGGAGGGTTCACTACCTTTTGTAGGCCCAAACCACATGATGTTACTGAAGGATGATTGGCGACTACAAGTTTTGCAATGCCTTTTGTTGCAGGAATCTGGAAAAGGAATTAAAAACAAATCAAACAGAACCATCAACAGTGTTTCAGAACTCAACTAGGCTCTAGCCACAATAGGGAATATGCATGATTTTTTTGTATTTTCTGTTGATTATTTACGTTGATATAATACAGTAAATACACAGTCCATTCATGGAAACATCTATATTTATCTTTAATTAAGCATTAGAAACTGGACCAAAGACGTTTGATTTAAACACACCGTTTTTGGAGCATATCACAGTGACGTCATAACTCATGATTTGTAATTCCATTGTACTTTTGTGAAGGTTACTGTCGAATTTTTGACATCCCATGTGATTACGAAGTGTTTATAGGTTATGTTTATTAAAACAAATTAGAGTGAGAACAAACGCTTGCCATTTTAAAACCAGCCTGATCAATCAACAAAGGGGTGGCTGATCACAAGTCGCAAACGACAGAGTCATCCCAATAGCGTTTTATTTCTAGATTTTAAATTTACCGCGTATTTTTTCCATTTTTATTAATTAATACTCGTAATTTCACAGCGTTCAGTAGCAAGAACTGTAAATAAATATAATTAAAATATATCTGAATCTCATGCCTATTTCCGCACTGTTTTGAAAAACAACAAATGTCGTGCATGAAAAGTGAGTGAGAAAGCTGTGACCAAAAGACCGCGCAGGGGATTAGCTTTTGAGAAAATTTGGTTGTTTTTTTTAAATTCAGTATGCCATAAGATATCAACACGTAGAGCAGAAGTGTATGTGGAGACCATACTTTTTCTACGAGTTGTGACCAACATACAGGACGTCCGGTCTGGAAATCTGTACCAAATTACAGCATATTGTGGGTTCGGTATGCGCTATATAATATGTAGTTGTTTTATATTTATTTACATTCTTATCATCTCTATTCGCTACCACTGCAATTTTATCACGTGCAAAGGGTGGCCCATGGCAACATTGATCGGGAAAATATACTTTCTAAAAAATTGATGAACTGCATATCATAGTTGTTATTTATAGATACCCATAGTTTTTATTACAGATTTGGGTAAACCTAAAAACTTCTGCGTTTTGTCAAGTTTTTTGACATACATATTTTGTCTAAAAAATGGCATCAAGTAGGTTGACTCTACACTTCCCACGCAGTAAATAAAGGAATATGTCAGTCAAACAGGTCCTTACAAATTAGTCCACCTAATAGGTGCGTAGAGTTAACAAGGTTGGGAGCGTATAAATGTACCAGCATAAAAAAGTGAATATTTGGAAATAACTTTAAAACTTTGAAAATACACCATGTCCAGCATACCCCTACGAGAGCCCCAACGTACTGCCTTAGTTATGGGAACCCAGGATGAAGAGAAAAGTAGGGTTCCACCATATGTTGTCAGGGAGACATCGCATCATTTCACTTTAAGAAAAAAACTGCGTAAAACGAAGCTCAAAAGGTTTTATTCTCATCACACTCTATGTGAGTGCTCTACACACTAGGTATCCTATTTGATGTTTTGAGAAACAATGATTTATGCGTTTTTAAAAACCCTGTATACCTAATTGACTCGAATAATTCAAAGACCGGATGAACTAGGTATAAACTCGAGACTTTACAAGGTCACCACCCGGCCCGCATAGGCCCTTTATCCGACCCGCGAGCCAGTTACAATTCTCATCCAAAGTTCAAAAATACTTCCAGGCCCAACCGTGTCACCTTACAACGAGTCGAATATGTTACAAATGGTTACCCGCCTCAACAGGACCTACAGTTAGAATTAAATGAATTACAAACTTGTTCTCATCTAAAAACGGCATACAAAGGTTGTCTTACAAACAAATTAATTGGATTTTGAAAAAAGTACAGTACAACCCAACCAATACCCAAACTTTACTAAATTAGCTCTTCAAAGCATTCCTTCATTTGGTAGTACGAGGGCGGTTCGATAAGTACCCGTGTTAGAAATGAAGACACCATTTTTTCCAAAAAAATTCTTTTTATTTTTCAACATAATCCCCTTTTAGGAAGATATACTTCGAAGCGGTCCAATAACTCACTGTAGTATTGTCCAGTGATCGTTTTTTTTTTTCTAAAGAATCCACGGGGATGTCGCCGTTCGCATCCCAAAAAATCATCGCCATGACCTTTCCGGCCGATGGGACCGTCTTCGCCTTCTTCGGAGCAGATTCAAATCCATTGTTTTGATTGTTGCTTAGTTTCTGGTGTGTAATGATGAATCCAGGTTTCATCGACGGTGACAACTCGACGCAAAAACTCCTTCGGATTTCGCTTAAATTGCTCCAAACACTGCCTTGAAGTTAACAGCCGCATCCGCTTGTTGTCAACGGTGAGCAATCGCGGCACCCATCGGATCGACAATAGCCAACTTATCATGTAAAAAATTGATTGCCGTTCCGGCCGACACACCTACGGCCTCTGCTACTTTGCGCACTTTCGTTCGTCGATCATCGAGAATCATGTCGTGGACTTTTTGAATGATTTCCTCGGTAACCACGTCTGCCGAGCGTCCTGGTCGATCCTCATCAAAAACGGATGTTCGCCCACGTTTAAATTCGTTGAACCAATATCTAACTGTGGTCATAGATGGCCCCATAAACAGCATCCAACTTTGCTTTCATCTCCTCGCATTTTTTCCCATGTAACGGTTTCACCGTCCGATCGTATTTATTAAATCACTTCTCAATTATCATTTCATTAATCCTATCTCTAGCTTTTCTACTTGGAAAATTTTCCGCTTGGAGCGCTTGATGCGGAGTTCCTGATCTGCGATCTTCCTCGCGCTTCCTTTTCACTTGAGCCGCCGATCGAACAACGGCTAGAAATTTCTTCTCAGTAGCACAAGGTTATATAGCACCATGTGCTAGATTTCTAGAATGTGTGTCCGTATAGGACAAAAATGGTGAGTTTTATAATACTATACAGTTTTATTTCTGGATCAGCCTGTAGTTTATAGATAATCGATATGTAAGTGATTTATTTCTTGTACGATTTTAAAATATCCATCGAACGTCATTTTCGACTACTTCGATCATTCGCCATAACTTTAATCAAATCGAGGTGGAAATCGATCCACATCGATTTTACCTCTGTGCGCGTATATATATTCATAGTTCAGTGAAATTATAAGTACGTTGATTATGAATATTCGATGATTATGTTTTTATATCAGAAGCATGTGGAGAAATTTTTGATGACCACCATCTTGTTCTACGCTTTTTTTTTGCTGTTTCATGATTTTATTTTATGAAAGGCATTTCCAATTTTCGGTTTGATTTTATCAAACTATATAATGTAATTCTAACCTAGAAAATCGTTGGTTCTTTTTTGAGGCAGACTGAGATTGGAAATGCCTTGGCCATTAGGGCAGGTTGCTAATGCACACGGTTCTTTTTCAGATTGGGGCCACCCCCTTTCTCTTTCCCTTTCACTTTGCCTAGCCTTGGCCAATATTTTCACCCATGCATGTACCTTGGCAGCGCCATCGCCTTTAACTTCGCCTACAACTGGTTGTGAAGCCACTATATGGAGGTCACCCCTCATAACTGGGACCTCCCCTTCAAGCCCCTGGCCATCCTGGCTTCAGTCGAGTAAAAATGGACCAGCGAAAGATAAGTCGATAGCGTTATAGCAGCGCCAAAGATGTAAAACTTATTTTGTTATTTTTGTAAAATTGTAATGTAATGAAAATGCCTTTTTTTTTTTGTTAAATAAAATCTGTTAAATTTTTGTGTTCTGTTTGTTCTTCTATCCTCTAGCCATGCCATGGTCGACACACAGCTACACGCCTGTAGATGTTTTCATGCCACCGACTGAGCTACCGGAAGCTAATTGTAACCCCCTTTCTGTGATTGTGCAGAAAAGTTGGAATCTTCATTGCATTCCATCTTTTCTGGACTTTTTGTGGAAAGGAAGAGTTACATAAATTGGCGCCCAACGTGGGGCTTCGATAGGTGTTTGGCTTTGTCGACAAGTGGTTTGCTAATGGAAGATTGGCAGACAGAACATTTCAAAATTCTTTACAATCTTTGGCAGCATTTCTATTTTTAATTGCTTTTGGTACTCAAATTTCTAATTCCTTAATCATCCTTACTTTTTGCTTAATGTTTAAAATTTTTATCAAAAGATTAAAATTTTTCCACCTGTTTATTTCATAGGCATACTATTAACTTTTAAATTGTCTTGTTTAGTAGTCAGCGAGATCATTGCCAGAATTTTTTTTCTCACATACTACTATAGTTTTTATTTACTGCTGGGGACAGTTATAACTTTTTTCTCATTGTACTTTTGAGATTGATGATATTTTGATATTTTTTTTGTTGTTGAATATTGATAGCCTGGGGACTTCAGGTTTCCCAGCATTTTTGTCGAATATCATCAAACTTTTGATTGAGGTTGTGACTATTGTTGTTGATAGTTTACATATTCTTATATGCTTTTCATTTTTGATCACTAACCTCTTAGTTTTTGAAAGTATTTCTTCATGTGCAGTTTTTTTGATTTCTTGAGACTTTTCATGTACGCATATATAGCCTAATTGTTGGATCTCTGGTGTACTGATATAGCTCTCATGATGTTTGGTACGTAGGAAATTTACTTTCAAAATTATTTTTGCCTTCCCCAAATGTATTTACTTTTTGAATTTTTGACTGTACTTGAACTTTTGATCATTCGTTTTCATTCTGATGGCAATAATCTACTGACTAGAGTTATCTGGAGTAAATCATTTTGCGATTTATCCATTTTTCTGAATTATATGAAATTGATATTCATAATTTTTCGTATATTTTGGGCGGTTTACTTTTTTTCAAGTATTGACACTTGGACATAGTACTTTGATACTTACCTTTCTTTTTTTTCAAGAAACAAATGATGTTTTTCTTGACTATATTTTTGCTACTTTTCAATGAGGGGGTGACTCCTAAATCATTTTTACCTATACAAAGACACACATACTCATTTATGATAATTAAACTTCAACTTGTTGTTGAAATAGTATACGT